GGGGGACGGGGGCGGGGCGAGAGCGCTGGAGCCGGGCCGCCCTGCTCTCGCGAGATGAGAGGCTCTAGTCCGCCTCAGCCCGGGCTGGATGAAGTGCGCTTGCGCGCTGCCAGGCTGATTCCCGCCCCGCTCCCTCCCGCCCGCCGCCGCCTCCCTCCACTCCTCCCGCAGACGACTAAACGGGGCGGAGGGAAAGCCACGGAGGGTCTGTCGTCTTCTTACTTACCACTTTCCCATTTTCAGAGCTCTCACCTTCCTGCCGTCTCGGGAAGGATGTGAGTTCTGAAAACACTGTGGCGTCGCAGTTTGGAAAAGTTCTGTCCTGCTTTTCTCAGTACAAGCCCGGGCCGGGGCCCCGCCCCTACCCTGCGAGTGTGTCTGTGTGTGTATACACACACATGTAATATGCACACACACATAGCAATATATGCATATGTGTATGACATGTTTCATGTGCAAAATATGTAACACGGTATATAACATAGCGTGCAATATATTTATATATAAAACATACCTAATATATCCAGTGTCTCGGCTGCCAAGGCACATGGAGTCCATCAGGATGGGTTTCCTTCTCTCCCCTGACCCCACTCTCTTGGAGCTAGGGGTCTCAGCCCCCACTGGTGTAGCACCAGTGCCTGGTGCAGAACTTTTTTTTTTCTTTTGGCCAGTCCTGGGACTTGAACTCAGGGCCTGGCCGCTATCCCTGAGCTGCTTTTGCTCAAGGCTAGCACTCTACCACTTGAGACACAGCGCCACTTCTGGCTTTTTGTATTTATGTGGCACTGAGGAATCGAACCCAGGGCTTCCTGCATGCAAGGCAAGCACTCTACCACTGAGCCACCTTCCCAGCCCCCATGTCTCTTTCTTTTGGTCTACCACATCTCTCCTTGTCTTTTTTTTTCTTCTATGCGTTAAAACATCAGCGACTGACCAACGGCTCATGGCACCAGGCATTTGGGTTATTTCCTAAACAGAGCCTTACAATCCGGAGAATTGCGCTTACTAGTGACAGTAGACAGTCTTTGGGTTCTGTCGTGTCACCACAATTCCTCATGACACATGATCGGCTTTTAGGTTTTGTTAGATTTTAAAACAAGTGTTAGCCGAATTTCTGTGGGAGGGGTGGAGGGCAATACTTGTAAGAAGTATAAAACATCGAGACAAGTTAAACGTGCTAAGGTA